CCATGGCAATTTAGTATTTGATAAATTCAAAGATCCAAAGTTTTGGGACAAGAATTCACTACTTGAAAAAAAAATCACTGGGAAAACTGGAAAGCAGTTTGGCATAAAGTAGGTACTGACCAACATCTCACACTAGAAAAGGTCGAAATGGATACATGATTTAGAAATAAAGGGTGATATCATACGCAAATTAGGGGTGTATGGAAAATTTGTCAGATCTATGGATAATGGGAGAATTATGATCAAAAAAGAGATAGAAAGGATCATGGGATTTTAAATGGATAATTTTGATCACATGAAATTAAGAACTTTTTGCACAAACAAAACCAATGCAGCCAAGATTAGAAGGAAAGCAGGGAGCTGGGAAAACATTTTAGAGCAAATTTCTCTGATAAAGGCCTCATTTCTCAAATAAATAGAGAAATAAGTCAAATTTATAAGAATACAAGTCATTCCCAAATTGATAAATGGTCAAAAGACAGGAACAGGCAGTTTTCAGAAGAAGAAATTAAAGCTATACTCATGTGAAAAAATGCTCTAAAGAATTATTGATTAAAGAAATGCAAATTAAAACAATTCTAAAGGGATTACCTCACACTTATCACATTGGCTAATATGACAGAAAAGGAAAATGACAAGTATTAGAGGGCATGCAGAAAATTTGTGACACTAATGTACTGTTAGTAGAAATGTGAAGTGATCCATCCAACCACTCTCGAGAGCAATTTGAAACTACATTCAAAGGGCAACCAAACTGTGCATATCCCTTGATTCAGCAATGTCACTACTAGGTCTGTATCTCAAAAAAAGATTAAAGGAAAAGGACCTACACGTACAAAAATACTTACAGCAGCTCTTTTTGTGGTGGCAAGAACTCAGACCAGCAATAGGTAAACCTTGAAGACAAGATTCCATGTTCTCCAAGCAAGAGAGGAACTCTTTCAATCAGCTTCCCCAAATTTAGAAGTAAACTCCTTGGGGCAAAAGCTTTGCAGCAGTTATGTTAAGTTTAAGACCATTTTCTCCAGGGATTGAGGTGGTATAAGGTAGTCAAAATGTATCCATGGGTGTTGGGGAGAATGGACTGTGCTTTGGTTTCTTGCTAAATATTTTCAGGAAATATCCCTTCATAAAACTTAATTGAAGTTAATCAGTTAAATGAAATGGGGCACTAATCACTGGTAATTGATATTGGGGAAAAGACCCTAGAATGGTGGCTATAGCCATGGCATTAGAGAAGAACCCCATAACTCCTCAGGGACCCTCCTAAAACCCTCCAGAGGAGATGTAGCCTTGTCCTGGAGGACCTGATTCATTGGTAGGAATGGGGATTGAAATGAGGAATCCCAGAGTTTGTAAATACTGCAGTTCTTCCTTGAATGCTGGGTGCTGATGGCACTGTTAGTCATTTTTAGAATGGCTGAGAAGAGCTTTTGGTAGCAAAGGCAATGACACTGGTGGGGAGGGCCATTTGGCACAGGGAGAAGTAAGCTTAAACTGGAGGTTTAAAAATTACAAATCTAGGATGGTTCAGAAGAGGTGGAGGCTCACATTCAAGGAGGCAATACGGTATATTGGAAAGGTCACTGAATTAAGAATGACCAAACTCATATTCTGTCATCAATTGGCTGGCAATATGACTTTGGGCAAACCACCTTTATCTGTCTGAGCCTTAGATTTCTTGTTTGTAAAATGCCGATAAACGAGCTACTTATCTCACAGAGCTATTATTCTTTTTCTCTACACTTCTTCTCTTGGTGAGCACATCCACTTCCATAGTTTCAGTTATTACTTCTAAACAGATCATTCCCAGATTTGAACATCTAGTCCCAATCAGTGTGCTAAAATCTGGTTCAACATCTCCAACTTCATACTGGACACACTCCACAAACACCTCAAATTCAACATGTTTAAAACTGAACTCTTCTTCTACATATTTCTTAAAGCAATTTGCTTGGATCTCTCTTTAACCCCTTTGAATTCTGCCTGGTGATATACTGCTCTTATGGGCCTTGTCTCATCCAGTGCACCAAAATGTTTTTCAAAAGTATCATGAACATTTCCATCTTTGTGTCCCCATTGACTAGTATAGCATGAGGCAATTGTTAACTTATCTTTCCCTTGAACATAGTAGGTACTTCATAATTATTAGTTAAATAAGGTTAGTTAAAAAAAAGCAAGGGTGATTTGAAGAGTATAGCATTCTGTACAAAGATACATTGGTATTAGTACCATTTTTTTTTTTGCAGCCAAAAACAAGGTTTATTAAAGATCCGCCATATTAGCCAGACTCTTGAGGAATCTGAGAGTCTGTGAGGTATTGGCTAGATTCTAAAAATCAGAGCAGTGTATAGATTTTAGGAATCTGAGCACCTTAATGGAGACAAGAGGGACCTTATATACAGGAAGACTGTGGGAAGGATCTAGGAGTGGCCAAGTAGTTCGGGGTGACTGGAGGATGGGTCTAAGGAAGATCTGAATGGGAGCCACCAGTAAGCTGGGGTGAACAGAACTCTTGGGGCCTGGACAATGGAGCCTAGCTAGGATTAAGTGTGGGAAATAGCCAGGGGCCACAGGGAGGATTAGTACCATACTCATTGATTAAAGGAAAATAAAAAAGATACTAGTGTACCTGCTTGTTTTTGATCTATTTCCCAAAGGTGTTTTAGAAATGAGGGAGTCTATGATTGACTTAGCTCTTAGCAATATGATGATCCAAGACAATTCCAAAAGATTCATGATGGAAAATGTTATCCACATCCAGAAGGGGGGAAAAACTGACAGGCTGAGTTTGCAGATCAAAGCATACTATTTTCGCTCTATTTTTTTCATGGTTTTTTTTTCCTTTTGTTCTGTTTCTTCTTTCACAACATGGAAATGTTTTACGTGATTTCACTATATAATCTATATCAAACTGCTTAACATCTTAGGGAGGAGAGAAGGGGAAGGGAGGAAGAAAAATTTGGAACTCAAAATCTTATAAAAAATGAATGTCTTTGCATGTAATTAGAATGAATGTCTTTGCATGTAATTAGAAAAAATAAAATACTATTAAAGAAAAAAGAAATGAGGGCCAGCTAGGTGGCACAGTAGATACCTGAACTCAAATCCAGCCTCAGATAACTTGACACTTACTAGCTGTGTGACCCTGGGCAACTCACTTAACCCCATTGTGTAGCAAAAAAAAAAAACCCCAAAACAAAACAAAACAAACAAACAAACAAAAAAAAAAAAACCACCACCTCCCAGAAACAAAAACTAGAAAAAAGAAATGAGGGAGTAAAATCTCAGGCTTTAAACTAGAAAGGTAATGGATAGAATGCTGGACCTGCAATTGGGAGAACCTGAGTTCAAATCCTGCCATAGAAGCTTACTAGCTATATGACTCTGGGCAAGTCACTTAACCTTTCTCAGCCTCAGTGTCCTCATGTGTAAAATGAGGATAATAGCATCTACTTTTCAGAGTGGCTATGAGCATCAAAATGAGAGCTATATGTGAAAAAGAAAAGAAAGAACAGGAAAAAAGAAAGGTAAGGAAAAAGGGAGGGGAGGGAAAGGAAGGGAAAAGGGAAACAATATGCTTATTCAAAAACTTTTATTTTTATGCAATCAAAATTATACGTTTTATCTTCTGTGATCCTCTATTCTTTGTTTGGTCGTGAATTCTTCCTTTATCATAGATCTGAAAGGTAATTTCTTCCTTGATCTGTCAATTTGTTTATGATGTCACCCTTTATGCTTAAATTATATCCATTTAGAGTTTATCTTGGTATACGGTGTGAAATGTTAGATAAATAAGCTCTACAAATATTCTTTTGGTAATTTAATTGGCATTGTAATGAATGAAGTTAATTTTTTTTTTTGGTAAGGCAATTAGGGTTAAGTGACTTGCCCAAGGTCACACAGCTAGTACGTGTCAAGTGTTTGGTCTGAGGCTGGATTTGAACTCAGGTCCTCCTGACTTCAGGGTCAGTGCTTTATCCACTGTGCCACCTAGCTGCCCTGAAGTAAGTTAATTTAGATAGCATTGTCATTGTCATTATATTGACTCAGTCCATCCATGAGTAATTAGTCCCTGTCCTCAAGTAGCTTATGTTTTATCAGAGGAGACAATATGCATATATGAAATTATATACAATTTTTAAAAATGTATTTTGATTTTTTTCAGGGAGGCACAAAAACCTGGGGATTAGAAAAGGCTTCACGTAGAAGGTGGTACTTGAACTGAGCTCTGAAGGGAACTAAGGAATTCTAAGAGGTGGAGGTAAGAAGGACGTACATCTCTTCCTTACCCTTTTCTTCCCTTTCCTTCCTTTCCCTTCTCTATTTTCCCTTCTTTTTCTTTCTTTTCAATTTCTTCCCTTCCTTTTACCTTTTGTTTCCTTATTTCTTTCCCTTCCTTTTTTTTCCCCAGTGAGGGGGCGGTGGGTGAGGTGAGGTGGAAGAGAAAGAAAAAGAAATGCTTGTTAATTTAAAAAAAAGAAAAAGAGGTATACCCTGTGTCAGCTGTGCTTCCTAAGACAGTGTTCTTAGCTGAGTTCTCACCTGTGGCATCAGGAAGGTAATGCCATTAGTACCAGCCTATTACTACTACACTGGCTGCACAGTGACTTTTGGTAGCTAGGAGGCCCATTGAAACCTTTGTTGTCCCTCTTGAGTGAAACAACATGATGGAGTTGGCCTCATCTCACACAGTTCCCTAGCGTGGGAACCCACAGCCAATGGAAATTGTGTGTATCCAGTCAAAGTCATGCCTGCAGGTACAAAATCTGAGTCAAAAACAAAACAAAACAAAACAAAACAACAAAATCCCAAAACAAAACAGAAAGCACTAATAAAAATGTGATGCTTTCTAACAGTCAAAACAAAGTCTATTCTATTAAAAGGCATCTAAAAAAGATGTTCAGATCAACCATCTCACCATGACCCTTTTATTCATAAGATACATCAATCCCTTTTCCTTTGAGATGATCAAGAGAAAAATAAATCACACACCCATATCAGATATTTGTTAATCACAGATCATTTAATCACAATTTGAAACATTATAAATACAAAACAGATTATTGGCTTGGGTATCAGAATCTACCCAGTTCTGTGTGAGAATTCTTTCTCCCACTCTGGTTTTCGTGCATTGGCAAGAGAACTAGAGGAAGGCACCTAGCACATTGGATGGATTGTTTCCCTCCCTCCCTTAACCCTGGACCCCCTTGGTAGATTTGCAGATTTACTGTAGAACATTGACAAGAATTGCACAGGATGGGCAAGCAGGGATGGACTGATTGTAGCCACATTGACAAAATTATAGATCCACTGAAAACTGAAGAAATCAAGGGAATTATTGACAGATCGGCACTCATTACTTTTTAGGCAAAAGCCACAAGATCCATATGAAAAATACAATTTTACAGGCTTAGCATTAAACATCATGTTTAAGATTCATGAGACTCATGGAGATTCACTAGATTTCAAATAGGAGGCAATTAGGTTGGGATGACTTTGTTGATCACATTAGGTATGCCAACCATCTTGCAACTTTCTGCCCAGAGCTTCCTCTGTAGGTCCTCATCATAGGTTACATCAGAAGATTTAATAATTTTCTCATGATAAAGGTAACAGCCACCAACTCCTTCTAGCTCTGGTGCAACCGCTGCATAGATGGAGGTGATTGCCCCTTCATCTGGAGTCTGTGGGAAGAAAAAACTAAAGATGAAAACAGTCAACTTTCAAAGTATAGGTTACAATAGCACCAGTAAATAATCAAGATGCAGAATGATAGGATAAAGAACTATAGATTTTTGGAACTGAGAGGGTCTTTAAAGGCCAGGCTCTTCATTTGACAAATGATAAAACAGACCCAGAGAGATTAAGTGCATTGTCATAGGTCCCATAGTTAAGGGCTGAGTCAGGACAGGAATCCAGGTCTTCTTACTTATGGTTCAGTACTCTAACTAATAATACAGTTGTTTTTCTATTAAACTTATGGTTCTGATGAAGGCCTGGTAGGCTGTGATAAGAAGTTCTTCAGTGAAAGCATCATTATTAACGTTAGTTTTCTCTGGAGCATATGCATACATTAGTAAATCTCCCAGTGGTATGTTTCTCACATGTTGGATTAATACATTTCAGTAAGCAAACAAAGAATTTTAAAATCCCTAGTGTAATTATCAATTTTTACAACTCTTTATTAAGCAGAAATGCTCATTAATTTCACTTGAAGCAGATGAGTACTCAACCTATTTAAACAAACAACATTTTTCAATGAGATGAAATATCAAGACATCAAAAACGGTCCTGTTTCTAATATAACATGGTAAGTTACAATTGAGAACTCACCTTTTTATAGGCCATGATTGTCAAGTTGAAAGGTAAATTTAAAAAAGAAAACAACTAATTTAGAAGTGCCTAGCTGGAATACCAATCCCCTCTCATAGAATACTGCAGAAGAGTGATCTAGAACCATTACAAATACCTCTACTATATTATGTTTCTGAATTCTAAGTTGTCATAGTCAGCCCAGATGCTTTTAGGGTACCTAGAGATGTTTATGGAAAAAGTAAGACTACCAATAATACTCCAAGTAATTGGCTTTTTAATACAAGCACATTTTACTTAGTGTAAGGGAATTTATTCACATGCCCTCAGTCCCATTAGAATGTAAGTTCCCTGAGGCCATGCACTGCCACCCACACCTGTAATCCCTGCTATTTGAGGGAGGCTGATGCTGGTTGGATCCTTGGTGTTCAAGATTTCTGACACCAACAGAGGGAGGCTCCCAGGATTTAAGAGCTACAAGGCTACTACTAAAGAAAAATAAGTCAACCCAAAGTTGGCAAAACTGTGAGCAGTCAATGCATTCCAAGCTTTCTTGGGAGAGAGAAAAAAAGAGGGAGTAAATGAAGGAGAGAAACAGAGATAGAGGGTGACAGTTATAGAGACAGAAAGAGAGAATGCAAGCTCTTTGAAGGCAGGGTGTCTTTGTGCCTTTCTTTGTATTCCCAATGCTTTGCAAAGCACCTAACACACATTAAGCACTTTAGTAAAAGCTTGCAATAGTTTTCAGACCTAGTAGAAGGGGACATATGATCCAGGTTAGAGGCAATTTCTTGCCCAGGCACCAAGGTCTCAGTCACTCCTTCAGTTGTTCACTACAGAGTCCCCCACAATTGCCTCACACAACAGGATCACACAGCAGACAAAGAAGGCAATTTGTGAGTGTGACAGGGTGCTCCCTCGGAACAGAGCATGCATTACGGTTACATTAGGAAGGGCATGAGTGTTACACTCTTGCTGGGGGAGGAGATACGTTCTTACTTGTAGAGATGATGCGACAAATTCTTATCTCTCCTCATGACTGGGGGTGGTATTGGTAGTGGTGTTGAAGAAGATTGGTGAATGAACCACAATAAAGGTACCAACTTTTTGGGTTGTAAGAGGATTGAGGAAAAAGGTTTTGTCTCTAATTTTTTGGAAATATATCCAATGTCTGCTGTCCCTTGTACTTCCAGTGGTGTTATGGGGAGATTTATCTCCCCTTCCTCCTCCCGATTTTCCTTCCCTACCCACCTAATCAGGTTCACCTAGGCAATAATATGCTAATTATCAATGCTAATGGTTTGGGGTATGGACTGTCACTGTTGCTCTGGGCCTACCTTCCTCCCCACCACCAACACCAACTGCTAATGAACTTCTACCAATAAGCAGATAAAACCATGAGTCCTGAGAACAGCATCACACCCCAGAACACCTGTGCTGCTTCCAGACCAGTACTCACAGCAATCATTTCAGAAAATAGTACTACAAGTAACTGTTTCTGCAACTGTTAGAGTCCTGTCTCTTCAAAATTGCTACTGAAGACTCTAAAAAGAATATTCTTACAACCCAAGCTCTTGGCATGGTCAAATTGTTCAACATCACAAATGGATATTATTTTACCAGTGGAAATGACATTAAAGAAGATGTATTATCATCTACTTCACCGTTTCATCCTAAAGACCTTGATACCTTTCCAAATAATCTGCAGCCGAAATGTCCTATAGGTGTTTTCTCCACCATTAGAAGGAGAGCTCCTTGGGATCAGAGTTTGTCTATGTCTTTCTATTTGTATTTCCAGTATTTAGCACAGTGAGTTGCACATAGGAAATGCTTAATATACACATTTAATTAATTAATTAATGTGTTCATTTAATTAATTAATGCGAACTAATTGATTAACCAAGCTACAAGGTATGGATATAGAATCTTCTAGAAAGGAAGATCTTGATGAGTGGGGGTTGGCAAAGAAGTATACAGCAAAGGAGCACAATGAGGAACCAGAAAGAAAAAAGGAGGAACTCAAATACTGACAGCCTGTTACCAGAAATGCCAAGTCCAGGAAAACGTGTTGTTCTGGACTAGAAGTCCCTTCCTTCTCTAAAGTCTTATTCTGATATTTCATTGTGTAATGGAGAAGATTATACTGTACTGGGTTTTTAAGAAAAGAGCTAAAGCTCTAGGAAGTCCTATTAGATATAGAGATTTCAAATACAAGTCAACAATGGATATCTGCCACTCAAAGATCAGTTTATGTAAATCTGAAAAGGAAAAGAAATCACCAGACAGTTGGCTGACAAGACTCTTAGCCACTGAAATTCATGAACTAATTCATGAAATGTGGGGAATTTTGATCCAGTTGAATACAAGTCCCTTGAGGGCAGGGATTGTTATGTTTTGGTCTTTGTGCTCAGTACAGAGCCAAGTAGATGGTGAGTGAATAATAAATACTTATTGAATTGAATTGAGTCAGTTTTGGTGGAAGGAGGGCTGAGCCTAATGAAATGACTGATTTTTCATAATTCAAACAATATAGCCTCCGGGAAAGAGCTCTGGACTTCCTCCAGTGCTTCAATCTACACTATAGAACAGAAGAAAGTGGTTGGAGTCATCATGTCAGTAAAAGAGTCATAGGGATTTTGGAGAAGGGAAGCTAACTGGCTCCGGAGACTTTGCATTTTCCTTAAAAAAGCTCTTTCCTTTAAGAAGTAACTCAGGCACCATCTTCTGAAATTAAGCCTTTCCTCATTTCCCCAACTGCTAGTGCCCTTCTCCCAAACTACCTTGTATTTAACTAGTTTGTATATATTTGGATTTGTTCACTTTATATTTGTTGTATAAATTTGCATAAATAGTCGTTGCTTTCCCCTTGAGAAAGTAAGTAAGCTCATGGAGAGTAGTGATTGTTTTACTCTTTGTACTTGTATCTCTAGTGTTTAGGCTAGTGAAAGGCACATATCTTAATAAATAGTGGTTGACTGACTGACTCTGCCAAGGGAAGCAGAGAAGTTTAAAGTCTAAGCTTCTCTCAATACAAAAAAACTCTAAAATGGATATTGCAATATTCCCTAAAAAATTTACCCAAGAACTTAAAATTGAATTGGAGTCAAACTTAAAAATTGAAACCAGTAAGGCTCTCTTTAATCTCATAATGCCACTGGACTGTAGTATAAATGCTACATTTTTATAGTTGTACCAATAAGAGGATTTTTCTCCCTCATAAACAATTTATCTCTACCTTCCAAAAATATCTTTAATACATACAGTACCATCCTTTGATAAGATTTCTATGAAAGAGACACTCAAGGTAAAATGGCCATTCAATTTCCTTTCCTGTCATTGGACCCAGGCTTCTGAGTGGAATAAGGTGAGTAAAACATGTTGCTTTCTCCTGGAAGTCAAATATTACTGAGATCAGGGGGAGGGCAATGCAGATATATGGAAGGTGAATTACCCTCTTTCAGAGACTCAAATTGAACTGCCTGGTATCTCTCATTTAATTCTTGTAATTTTTCTCTGCAATAAATAACTATCTTACCTTGAAGCAGGTATCTTTTCCTCACCAAGGTATGGGATCAATTACATTTATAGAATCCACAATTAAATCTGAAAAGATACATTTCTTTTCATCTTCAAAAAGCTAGAAAAAGTTGCCAGATTGTGCAAGGACCTATTTTCAACACTAAGTTACTTAAAGGTTTATTCTGATTACTAACCATTCTATTACAAATGCTCTTTGCCTCTATGCTTGCCACAGTTGGCATGGTGAGGTGATCTCTATACCTGGTGATGAAATCTGGCAGGCTGTGAAGCTTCTCTGTTCTGGCAGGGGAGAGGGGAAATTCAGTACTTCCATTAAGTGTGAGAATGGCTAATTGTACTTCTAATACTAATTTAGCAAACAATGAGAACTGGGTCAGAGCCCCACTTCTTTAACTAGGGACTTTTAAATGGGGACTGAAAACTGTTAAAAAGCCATGCACTTATGAAAACTTCCACCAGAGTTCTACTCTGATATCTCCCTGAGACATGAATGTTCTTGAAGGTTAGGTCAGTGGAGGGCAAGTTCTGACACATCCCACCAGGCTGAAAGGGCTTTGTGTAGGGGACCTGGGGCAGACAGTATGTCTTTTGAATGAGGACCAGCCTAGCTTTGCAGAGGCTCCTCATTAGGTTGACCTCAGGGTGATGAATGGTTTGGCTAAAACATGTCTCAATGACCACTGACCAAGTCATAACATTCCATTGGTAGAGCTATAAACTGTGGTAGCTGTTCTACCACAAAACACCCCTCCCCCAAAATAACAGTACTACGTTGAAAGAGTACCTAAACTGACCCTAAAATATCTCCATTGGACATTTACCTCAGGGCACT